CGGCACAAGGGGGCCGGCTCACGCCCGGGGCGGCACCGCCGGAGCCCCGCGACCCGGACCTTCTACGACCCCGCGGCGCTGGACGGGGAGACCTCCGAGCCAGCCGGAACGTGACAGGGGTGTAAACACCCACAGAAAATACTTCCCCGCCGCGCAGCCCCGGTCTGCGGGCACGCCGCGAGGTGGGCAGTGCACGCGGCTGTAGGGGCAGCAAGGCTGGGGAGGAGACCAGCCACAGGGCGCCGGGGCGGCCACTGCAGCCGGGACCCGCGGACTCAAAACACCGACCTAGGAGCGCAGTCCCGGCCCGGGCAGGCTCTCCTCTGCAGATGCGGCCCGCGCTCAACGTGTGGGCGAAGGCGGGGAGGAGCGGCCGAGCCAGGAATCCAAATTCCAAACAACTGATGCATTTCAAACCTGCAACATCCGTCTGTGGGTGGCTGCCAAAACCCCTGCACCGCAGGCAACGAGCATGTGCGCTTTGTTAAGAGCTGTATCTTCTGGTTTCTTTTCCATCACAACAGAGTCCCTTCCCACTTCTCGTTGCACGGACAGTGGTTTCCAAAACATTAAGCCTTAATACCATGACAGCGAAATCACGCACTTGCCCTCTGAAAGGAACAGACAATGGGACAGCAGGATCTCAAACAAGCAGCAGAGTAGCACAGACAAAGCTCCCTTGAAAGACTCTTCAGTGCTTGACCCTGCAGCCTAGTTTGGGGCATCTCCTGACTGTCAAGGCTGCAGCTCCTTGGTGAGAGCATTTTTACATCAGAGGGCAAAGGTTTTTTGGGTAGATGTGATATCTTTTATTAGACCAACTAAACAATTGGAAAAATTGTTCTTTGCAAGCTTTCAGGCACTAACGCCCTTCTTCAGGCATTAACACCAGCAGTCTCCCTATGCCTGAAGAAGGGCATCTGTGCCCAAAAGCTTGCAAAGAACATGTTTTCCAACTATTTAGTTGGTCTAATAAAAGACATCACATCTACCCGAAGAACCTTTCCTACCTATGTCCTTAGACCAACACAGCTACAACCAAGAAACCCTTTTTACATCAGATGCGCATAGGACGCTTTCCCGCTCCATGCCAGTTACTCCCCCAGCTCCTTGCCTGATCTTCCTTCCCCACCCTAGTTCTTCTTCCCACTTTACTCAAATGGCTCCCAGCCCAGCCCAGCCCAGCCCATCAATCTTCCCAGATCCTTTCTTTCCCCATTCTGCTCCTCCTTCCCCTCTGCTAATCCTTTCCGTAGTTTGCCAGGTCGCACCTCCTCCTGTACCTCTCTGGGCATCAGCAGCATTTTAACTGCTACAGCACCCCAACACAGACAGTTTTGGGAAACTTTTGAGACGTTTCAGTCTCACTGCCCCCCCCCCAAATCAAAAGGCCAGGTACGAGTACCACCCTGTGTTGGAGGGAACGTAGAGACTGCCCCAGGAACACAAAACCTCAGGGCCACACTGCCACCAGCCCCCCAGAGCGGGGTGATGCATGGCACAGGCTCTGCAGAGGAGGGGAAACAGAATCGCCCCAGGCAATACAGCACTGCGCAGCTCCCAGCATGGGGAGCCGTGTTAAATACCCTGGCAGCTTCTCTTTCCATCAGAGCCCTGCATGAGGCGGTACCGCTAGTATAAGGCTGCTGCTGTTCTCATCTACTGGAAGCCGTGCTGGGCCTTCTGGAGGGCACGGGTGTAAGACCGAATCACTTATTAACAACAACCACCATCACCTCTTCGTGGCTCTCCAGAATTTAGTTCAAATTCGACATGGCTAAAAACATCTCTTCAGTGCCACCCTGCCTCAGTCCCTCCCTTCCTGATCACTGAACAAGACCACCCGTTCCTCATCATTCAGATCCATGTAAGTGTAACAGCTGCAAAGGCTTGCTTGGCTGCAAGCTGAGTTGGTGACCCGTGCCTAAGAATGTTGCAAGAAAGGCAGCAAGAAGTTTGCAGAGTGCAATAGCTTTTTTCAGACGGAAGGTATGCTGTGCACAATGCATGCTTGTTACTGGAGGATTTGAACTGTAACCAGAGCCCTCATTGCAAACCCAGGGGGTCTGATTGGCTACTGTGGAGCCATAAAAGCTAAGGGAGGGAAAAGCAGCCGGGGGCAGAAGTTGCGGGGGAGCTACACCAGCCTGCGGGGGGGGGGGGGAAGACACAAGCG